GCCGGTGCTTGTGGGAAGATGAGACACGTGTGGGCACCTGTGAGCGGCACAAGAGCCTGAGGGGCCACAGCTCCCCTGCTCGGAGCTCAGGTGCCACGTCCCACTTCGGGGCTTCCACAGCCTTCTGAGAGGCTGAAGGTCAGTCTAGAGACAGGCCCTGGGCTCCAAAAGCCCTAAGAGCTCACTTGATCCGTGAAAGCTACGGGAAACCCTCCCAGGCGAAGCCACCCCTGCAGCTGAAAGGGCAGCTGCTTCCATGAACCCACCCCCAAGTGCCAACGAAGGAAGACTGAGGTCAGAGCCTGGGGCCCGCAGCCAGACTGGGCCGCGGACATGAGACAGTTTCCAGAATGGAGTGACATCACAGCACTGATTGAGACTTACCCTCTTTTGTTACATCAGCATTGGGAAAACCCCCAGTGGAACAAGGGGCTGATCTTCCCCCATTCATCTAGAAGTTTCCATCTGCGCTGCCGACTCAGCAGCTGTCCCCACCCGCGCCTGCGTCCTCTGCCCTTGGAATCCCAACTTTTCCCTATCAAGCCCTGGCCTTGCAGGCTGTGGGGCATGCTCTTTGACACCTGACTACCCTGATTGAAATTTAGGCCCTCTGGACCTCTCGGGGCCTCAGTTTCCTCCTCTGTAAAATGGGAACAATGAAGTCCCTGACTCACTGCCCCACCCCCCTGCCCCGTGGGCGAGGATTCCCTAAAGCTCACGGCAGGTGCCTGACTCAACGAACAGTGGCCTTGATGGTGATAACCATCCCCGCACAGCAAAATGCTTCCTCTCTCCCTGACCTTGGCTCCCCCTGTCCCCGTGCCGGGCAGCTTCCCTCTCTGAAGCCTGCCAAGCAGCACACACCACGGCCACCACGGTTCACAGAGAGCCGGGAACACGCAGGACAAATAGGGCAGGCTGTTGAGAACCCTGAGAGTGAGGCCGGAAAGTGGGCATTTTCTCACGTGGGAAAGATGCTGGCCCCCACTTCTGGGGTGGAAATGGCTCTAACATGCTGGGCCTGTCCTCCAGGGCTGAGCCACAGCTTGGGATCATGCATCCGTCCCGGCTGGGACACAGCGGCTGGACCGTGGGGAAGGGCTGCATTCTCTCTGCTGGCTGGGTCTCCTCCCCCAGCCCCTCGTCACCTGCCAAGGGCCATGCATCTCTACCCCCAGCTGTGGCGGGTGTAGGGAGGCGCAGGGGAGCTGCTTCCTATGGGGAGCCTCTGCATCCGCTGGGAACTGAAACGCGCACACTGTCAGCCCCGCCGCAGACCTCTGAATCAGAAACTCCAGGGTAGGATCTGGGTTCTGGGTTCTAACAGGTCCCCTGATTGGTCCAGATGCAGCAAGAGGGTGGGGCCATGTCTGTGCTGTCCACTACCGAACCCTGGGCCAAGAACACTGCACCTGGGCCAGGAACGTGTGCATAAACACCATTACTCCAAAGCCCCAAAGGGAGGCACGTGAAGGGTTCCCGTGTCCCAGGGCCGGGCCGCTGCCCTGCTCATACCCACACGGCATCTCGACCACTCCTGAGGCAGGTGCCTCACCCGATTCCACCAGAGAAACAGCAGGTAGCTGCTGACGTGCTGCTCACCGTGGTAGAGCTCTACCAGCGCTCTTGTGTTTTAAATTTCGACAGTCATCCTGGGAAGTGTTAGCCCCATTTCACAGGTGAGAAAACAGGCACAGAGAAGCGCCTGTAATTCCAGGTACTAAGGAGCACATCTGGGATTTGAAACCAGGGCCCAGAGCTCACCAGCTCTCCACTTGCTGTGTCTTTTAGGGACCACTTGGGTTATCTGGTATTTGGAACAAATCTGGTCCCTTCCATATGCCCTGATTTTTTACAGATGGCACGGAACACCTTCCACCTGCTACCAGGGAAGGCTTAGTTCTGAAAGTTAATTTGTAAGTTGGTTGCTTGTGACTAAGAAATCGGTTTTGAAAAAAAGGATTTCTGGGTTCCCAGGCCAGCCCACAAAGAACCCTTGACTCCCAGGGCAGCCCCAGGCTCCCATGAGGGGCTGCATCTCACCTCAGCTCTGAAGCTGACACTTCCAAGGTGAAGCTGTCTTGATGAACGCCTCTCTAGGAAATGCATTTGGAAACACCTGGGGCTGCAGGGACTGGGTCTGGCCCAGGCGCCGGGTTCTTCTGGTGGGGCTGAGTGTGGGGGCTCGTGCTGCAGCAGGTCTGAGAGGGCTTCGGCCCTGGAGAGACGTGGGCAGAGCACCTGCAGTTGACAGCTGCAGAGGGACAGACGGACAGAGGCCCGAGCCTCTCCCAGGCTGCTGTTCCCAGGTCAGCTGTGGACACAGGGACTTCGGGGCAGCTTTCTCTGCCAGGCAGGTGTTTACTCACTCATCTGCTATGGCCTCGGGGTTGTCACTGCCCCATCCCCCTGCCCTGTGGGTTCATCAGGAGTTTGATGCTTATTTTTCCATGAAACTTCATTGTTATAAATGGAATATAGTCTACTCTTTTAAAAGGGTAACTCTCCTACGAAGTTTGTATCGTAAAGCAGGAATGCCCTGCTCACCTTGAGTCTGTCTCTAGGTAACCCTTACAACTCTTTTTAGTCCCTTGGCATCTAAAATCTCATGCGGATTCCGCCTTGATTTTGTAATTTTATAGAGCATTATGTATTTATAAAATATCATGACATAGCTCTCATATATGATGTCCCGGACACACATAAGCTTCTTTTATGTCCTTGTGCACCTCCTGTCCTCCTCTGGGCTGGCTGGCACTGGCCTCTAGCCCAGCCACCCAGCTCCACCATCACCCTGAGGGTTCTCTGCTGTCTCGGGCTCCAGTTTCCTGTGCCCCCCGTACCCTCCCTCCTGGTTTTCTCCCTTGTTTCATGGGAGCACATCCTGGAGTAGCTGCCTGAGAAAGAGGGCAAGGGGGGTGATATTTTTCAGGAACTCACATGTCTGAACATATCTTCATTCTACCTTCACACTTCACTCAGTTCTAGCTGGATAGAAAAGTCTAAATTAGAAATGGTTTCTCCTCAGAATTCAGAAGATCCTGCTTCACTGTGCTCTGGCTTCAAAATTAGCTTTGAGAATTTCAGTGCCATTTGAATTCCAGATTCTTTGTGTGTGACTTTTTTTTCCTTCTTCGTTGGAAGGCTTTGGGATATTTTCCCTTTATCCTGGTGTCCTGAAATTTCTTAAGAAGGTTTGGTATACTTCCTTAATTTTCTTACTTTGAAATATTTCTGACATATAAAAAATACTAATCTATACAGTGGGTGAAAGGAAGCAAAGCACACAACATGTGGGGGAGGCTCGTGGACTGGGGGTCCCACAGTGGACTGGGCAGAGACACACTGTTTGTGGAACCCCCAGTGTCAAGGCCTGCCCATCTGTTCTCTTTCATCAGTTTTCCAGAGGTAAATTCAATAACGTCCTGCCTTGGGGGTGGACAGATGGGGACCAGGCCTGGCTTTTATCAGCCCCTTTCAGGGATTTTAATGAGGAATGAGGGCCTTCCCATTAACACCCTGATTTCAGTTAGGTGCCCTGCCCTGGCCTTTGGCAAGGATTGGGGTCCCCAGTCCAGAATCTTTTCAGATCACCCTTGGCCGGCAGTACACCTGTCTCCCACCATGCTCAGGGAAGGGCAATCCCCAGGCCAGGAGACGGGACATGAGGTCTAAAGACTTCTTTCAATCAATACGATTTTCAGACCCATGCTGAGCTTCCCCCTTAGGGACACCTGGTCCCCCACGTTCTGTGCATTTGGGGTATTCTGCAGAGCAAATAGGCTTGTTCACGGCTTGGCCTCCTTCTTTGTAGACATTTCGGGGCCGACATTAAGTGAATTACACCGCTCCAGCGTCCGAAGCTCTTCGGACGTCGCCATCCGCTGCCATCTTCTCTCCTGTTCTTTTTCTCTTTGTGGTTTATGCATTCCTTTGCATCATTCTAGTGGGGTTTTGAGGGACAGGAAAATATGAATATATTCAGTGCACCATATGTAACGAGCAGTCCTTGTCCATTTAAAATTCATTTCTGCATACGTCCGTATGTTTGTAGAACTCATTCTGATTATCTGTGTTGTGAAATACTTCCTTTTGTATGCAGCTGGCCTTGCTTATCCGTGCAGCATCAGGTGTGTGAGCTGCATGCACACACACAGATCTAGCCCCTCCTTTCTCTGCGGCTTAGGAAGTGTTCCAGCAAGTCAATGCATCACAGTTTTTTCCATCCATTTTCTGTTGATGCATCTCAGAAACACAGGCAATTGTGGTCTTTTGATCAACACACTGGCTCAATGCAAATTTTAATCTTCATTGTTTTAATTCTGAAGCATAACGTGTCACAGGGAAAATGAGTTTCTTTACCATTTGCCAGCAGCAAGGACAAAAAGCGAATGGTGGGGGCCCAGGAGCTCCCAGCTTGGAGAGAAGGAGGCCCTTCCGGACCCAGGGACCCAGGGGTGGGGTGGGGGAGGCAGGAGGAGAGCAGGTGTGGGCATTGTCACGCACATGCCCCCCACACGTTTTCTCTTCAGGGAAGGGTTTTCCAGAAGTATTTGCGTGCCAAGCCAAACCTACTGAAGAGAAGTGAACTAATGGCTGAGGGGAGCCACGTGCCCTGACCAGGGAGTTGCCTGAAGGCTGCTCTTCAGTGAATTAACAGCATCCACCAGAACCATTCCCAGTTCCTCAAGCTGAAGACAGGCTGAACAAAAACCAGGCAGGCTGTGAGGGGATTCAAAGAAACCTAATAAGGCCGGGCGCGGTGGCTCACGCCTGTCATCCCAGCACTTTGGGAGGCCAAGGCAGGCAGATCACTTGAAACCAGGAGTTTGAGACCAGCCTGCACAACATGGCAAAACCTTATCTCTTCTAAAAATACAAAAATTAGCTGGGCATGGTGGTGGGCACCTGTAATCTTACCTACTCAGGAGGCTGAGGTGGGAGAATCGCTTGAGCCTGGGAGGCAGAGGTTGCAGTGAGCCGAGATCATGCCACTGCACTCCAGGCTGGGCGACACAGCAAGACTCCATCTCAGAAACAAACACACGAAAACCAAAGAAACCTAACAATGCCAGGTTTCACCTGCAGTCCTGGGCCAGCCCAAGGGAGGGGGGCCCTGCTCCTGCCTCCCAGAGCTGAAGGGAGGGAGAGGTGGGCAAATCTCACACCCCGCTGAAGGGAGGGGGAGGTGGGCGAATCTCACATCCCGCTGAAGGGAGGGGGAGGTGGGCAAATCTCATACCCCGCTGAAGGGAGGGAGAGGTGGGTGAATCTCACACCCCGCTGAAGGGAGGGGGGTGTGGGCGCTGCTCTGGCTCCAGTGCTCACCTCTAAGGGCCACACGCAGCTTCGGAGGCCATGCCCTAGGTTTCATTTCATCTTGCCATTAATATAGCAATGGAGAACGCCCCGCCTGGCTGCCCCTCTGACATTGCATGTGGGAAGTCCCCCACACCCCAGCCCAACCCAAGACCCAAGCAAACTTACAATAATTACAAGGTAGGTTGGGGTGTGGGGGCGGGGATAATAAATAAGGTTGGGGTTGAGGGCAGCGGTGGGAGGGGTGGCAGATGCCGAGGGCCCCCAGGAGAGAAGGGGTGCAGAAAGGCACTGGGTGGGGATGCAGATAGCTCCCAACACCGGTTTGTTGCATCGTGGGCAACAGGGTGGCTGGCGAGGGCACAGGGACTCGTCCGGGAGGAGCCTCACAGGGTCTGGCTCCAGCTTTCTCCAGAATCTTCCGTGGAGAAGTCTGTCCAGGCACCCAACGCCTCAGCCCGGGCAGCTGGAGGGTCCTGCTGGAACCGCATCAGCAGCGGGGGCTGGCCCAGGTGTGTCTTTTACCTTTGGAGGAAAGAAAAGGCCACCACGCGGTGAGCGGGGGTGGAGTCCCTCCCTACCCAGTGACAGCGCGGCCTTTGGGAATGAGAGGGAGGGCTGGTGGGGCAGGCGGGCTTCTGCTGACAGCGCCCTGGCTGGAGACCAGCACCACACCGCTCTGTGCTGCTGTGCGATGGCGGCAAAGTCACCAGTCCCTCTGGGCTTCGGGCCTCCTCCCAACCCAGGTGACCAACACAGCAACCCCAAAATGCCGGAAGGAGCAGACGGACACGGAAATAGAAAATCCTCCTCCGAGCCGATCATTTCCAAGCTGTTTCTTAAGCCTGGGAACCCTCTCTCTGTACTAGGTCACATGGCTTCCCCTTTATTACTCCCAGAGGACCCCCAGGGGAAGGCAGTCTGTGTGGACACTGCATTTTGTCTCTCTGGAACCCTGTGAGGGACACCTTATCGATAACAGAACTGGGTGCAGAGAGATCAAATATAAGGGTGAACTGTCTTGAATTGCTGATATTTCACTGTTTTTGAACCCAAAAAAAATGCAATTTCAGTTGGGTCCAGTGGCTCTTGCCTGTAATCCCAGCACTTTGGGAGGCCAAGGTGGGAGGACTGCTTGAGCCCAGGAGTCTGACAACACAGGGAGACCCCGTCTCTTTGAAAAACACACAAAAAATAGCCGAGCATGGTGGCACATGCCTATAGTGCTAGCTACTTTGCAGGCTGAGGCAGGAGGATTGCTTGAGCCCAGGAGGTTGAGGCTGCAGTGAGCTGTGATCACACCACTGCACTCCAGCCTGGGCAACAGCATGATATCCTGTCTCAAAAAAAAAAAAAAATGCAATTTCATGTGGTTCAACCTGGGGGTTTCTGTTCAAGATCCTGTGGCTGTGGGTGGCAGGGCTGGGACAATGACTCAGGCTGCCTGATCCACACTGACCTCTGACCTCTGTGGAGGACCCCCAGGAGGCTAGAGGAAGGGAGCAGGTCTGCTCCACAGCAAAGATGCTTCCAGGTGCTCTGCAGCTTCTGGGGAACCATTGAGTGGGTGAGGGGAGGCGGGGGAGGCAGTGGAGGCATTCCTGCGGTGGCTGCCAGGGGCCCTCCACACCTCGGGAGGGAGATCGGCTGTCACCCTGGTGCTTGTGCGTATCCACAAATCCAATGGGGGTGGGAGGCGGAAGAGGCATCCCCTCAGTGGCTGCTGGGTGCCCTCCACCTGGAAGGGAGATCAGCCACCGCCCTGGTGCATGTGTGGACCTGTGAATCCTCAGGCCAAGGAAGGGCCCAGCCCGCCCGGGGCTTCTTTCTTGAAGGAGACAAGGCCGATCCTGCACCTGCGCAGCTTTCTCTGGCCTCAGTGTAAGGAGGACCCCCTCCCCTGTCACGGGATGGTCCTGGGCCGGCCAGGGCTGGGGCCAGCAGGTACAGGGCAGAGTGGGATCCCAGGATTCTCCCCTCACTCTCTCCGTGCCTTGGTTTCTCTGCCCATCAGATGGGGACGATAAGCCTCCCAGCCATTCTGCCAAAAGAAGGCAAGTTTACCCCAGAGGTGCCAGGCAGGCTGGGCTCCATGTCTGTGGTTCTGGAATCTCCCTCCTACGACCTGGGCCAGCTCCAGGCTGGGCTCTGTTTCCAAGGGGTTGATGTGGCTTCCTCTGCCATGTGGCAGGTTTGGGGAGGGCAAGGGCTGTCCCACCTGGCTCCCAGCTGAGGCTGGGCACTTGATGAGGCTCAATGAGGACTGACTGCCTGGCGCACAGCCAGGTGCCCTTGAGTGGGAGATGTAGTATCATAGTAAAGCCATCACAGAGATGGGGAAATGCTTTATAATGCAGAGGATGGTAACCACTGCTGTAATTACCAAGTGGCTACGGAATCACTACCATGACCAATTTGGGTCCCTCTCTCTGTTCCTGGCAGGCCGGGATGGGGTCTGGCTCACCTGGTCCCTAGCACAGTGCTCAGTAAACATGGAGCATTGACCATGTCACCCACCACCCTCCAGTATGGGAGGAGTGAGGGATAGAGGACGTGGCCGGGGGGCAGGAGAGGGAAGGCAGCAGCTGGGTACTCACCAGGGCCCTTCAGCTCAGCCCGGGGCGGGGTGCCCTGCGGGTCAGCAGAGCCTGTCCCTGTCTCACTGGCCAGGCTGCTCTGGCTCCCAGAGAGGCGGCGGGGCGGGCGGGCGAGCCCCATCCTGGGGGCCTCCTTGCTGCCACCTGTGGGAAATCATGTGTGGGCCCCGTGAGTCTCAAACAGAGACAGGGTGATCACAGTCCAGGTCCTCTTGGGAACCATGGTGGGTCTCTGTGGGATGTCTGCCCCCCACCCCACCCACATGGCCGCCAGGTTCTGGCATGGCCCCACCCTCTGGTCACTGCTGCTGGGTCCAAGAACGGGACTGTAGGTCGTTTCACTAAGTCACAAGTCACCAACATGACAATCCACAATGATCACAGACTGGGGATGGGGGTCGGGATACATATTTTGGTTAACCTAATGAGAGAGAGATGTTGAGGGCTGCCTTAACTCACTAAACGATCCTCACACAAACATGGTTTTTGGTCCTTGCCTGGCCAAGAGAGAAGACGTGGAGCCCGCTACTTTGCTGACCTTTTCCTGACTCCCAGTCCTACGTGGTCAGAGCTGAGGGTGGGTGTGGAGCGAGGGGACCAGAGCTCGTGGTGGGAGGAGGGGGTGAGTATAAAATCTGCCCTGGAAACCTAGGCTGGCAGGTAAGTTTCCTTTATACTCTTCTAAATCTCTAGAATCTTCAGCCTGAAGTCACTGGTCCAGGGAAAGTTTTCATCTCTGACACCATCTCTACCTACTGATACTGGCCACTTGGAAAACTGCACTGAGGAGGATTCTGAGGACTCATCAGGGCTCTGGGATCACCTAGTAATGTCTGCCATGGTCATGGGAGTGGGGAGTGGTGATGTGTGCGCCAGGCCTCTGCCGGCTCTGATTTAGCTCACACTTCCATTCCCAACCCAGTCTTGGTCCCAAGACAGGACCCCCAAGGCATTTCATTCCCGTTTGGGGCAGTTATTATAGAGCCCTTTCTTCCTATGTACTAAAATTGGCCTCCCTGAAACTTCTTTCGAAGATTCCAGTTCCAACCAGTGGAGTGACTGAATGGAGCTGGCCCTTTTTCCAAAGTCCTTCCTGGTTTCGAAGTCTGTCCCACTTGCTAACGAGAAGAAAATGCAGGCCCAGAGGTCACGGCAGGTCCTGGGGACCCCACAGTGGTTTCATGGCAGAACTGAGCTCGTGCAGGGAACTTTGTCCCTGATTTTCACACTCTCAGGATTCAAGACGCAACCTCTCAGCTGGGGAATGCTCACAGGTGAGCTTGGGGGGAGTCCCAGGTGTGCCGGCCCTGCCTCCTGTCGTCCACCTGTCCTCCTTCCCCTGCTGTGCGGACAGAGGAGCCTCAAGGAGCCTCAGCACCCATCCCTAGGCCTGCTTCTCCTTCCAGATGTAGAACAACTCTGTGGACACCTGCTGGGAAGCAGCAACTTCGAAAAGCAGCAGCATTTTTGGGGATGGAGGGGGACGGAGTCTTGCTGTCACCAGGCTGGAATGAAATCACTGCAACCTCCACCTCCTGGGTTCAAGAGATTCTCCTGCCTCAGCCTTCCAAGTAACTGGGATTACAGGCACATGCCACCATACCCGGCTAATTTTTGTATTTTCAATAGAGATGGGGTTTCACCATGTTGGCCAGGCTGGTCTCGATCTCCTGACCTTATGATCCACCCACCTTGGTCTCCCAAAGTGCTGGGATGACAGGCGTGAGCCACCGTGCCCGGTCAATAAGCAGCATGTTACTCCCCACCTACCTGACTCCCTCCAGGGTTTGTCGCCTTTTGGGTTCCTGACCCCAGTGGGTGGGAGTCTGTCCTCTAGGCTGGAGGAGCTGAGATCCGAGTCACTGTCACTGTCACTGGAAATCCCTGGAAAATGACAGACCACAGCACAGGAAGTCACCCAACCAGATACTACCGCAGGCACAGACAGGGGCCAGGACAGGCCTCCCCAGCTCAGGACAAAGTGGCGTAGCAGCCCAGCTGGCCCTTTTGCTTTGGGCAGGAGAAGCAATGGTCTGGGGACGGGAAGGCACGTGTTTCTGCTGGCCACAGAGGGGAGTCCTGGCGTGAGGAGGCTGGGACTCAGAGGCTCAGCATGACAAGCAGACAGTTCACCTGTTGGCCAGCCATCTCCACACATCAGCCCCGTTTTAGTTCCCAAGACGGAACCAGAACCCACCCGCCATGGCAGAGGCTGATTATCACGGCGCTGTGGACACAGCAGCTCTGAAGCCTCCACCCGGTGAGGCAGGAGGCCCAAGGTGATGCTCTGTGGGGGTGAGGGTGGCGTCAGGCCTGACCTGAGGGAGCATCCCAGGCACGTTCCACAGACACGTTCACCGAAGCTTCAGAACAACTCTGAGGTACGAAAAAGCATTACCCCCATTCCACAGGCAAGACAACAGGGGCACACGCCCAAGGGGAAGAGCAGGATTCTCCTCACAGCAGGCCACGCTCACAGCCCTGATTCCACTGGAAGAACTGAACTGGGAGGCGGCAAGCCTGGGCTCTCATCCCAGTTCATCCAGTAACTCGCAGTGGGGTCTTGCAAATGTGGAAGGGAGCCAGACGGATGGGGCTGGAATCCCAGCAGCGGGAGGCGAGGATGTTGTCACAGCGAACACCCACCGTGGGAGAAACTCTCTTTTCTGGGCTAAATGGGACCGTGTTTGGCTGGGTAATCAGCAGTGGGAGTCATGATGCAGGATGCAGCCACCTGTTAAACGTTCTATTTTAATTTTAAACACAGAAATGTACACCCATTCGCCAATCCTTCGATGCCAGGCTTGGGTGCTCCTGCAAGATTGGCCCACGCGGCCTCCTGTGTATAAACCACACCGTGCTGTGTTGTCTGTGGCCCCAGTTGCAGTTTCTCTGAGTTTCAGCAGGACCCACAGATCCTGGCGAAGAGGACAACAGCAGAATCTCCCTTTCTCCATCTCTTCCTTTTGGTTTTCACAGTTGTCCTGCCCGTCCCTAATTCCACAGATTTTTATAAAGCAAGTTGCTTTCATTAAGACTTTCCAGGGCCAGGCACAGTGGCTCACGCCTGTGATCCCAGCACTCTGGGAGGCCAAGGTGGGTGGATCGCTTAAGGTCAGGAGTTCAAGAACAGCCTGGTCAACATGGTGGGACCCCGTTTCTACTAAAAACACAAAAATTGGCTGAGCATGGTGGCAGGCACCTATAATCCCAGTTACTCAGGAGGCTGAGGCAGGAGAATCACTTGAACCTGGGAGGCAGAGGTTGCAGTGAGCCAAGATTGTGTCACAGCACTCCAGCCTGGGCAACAGAGGAGACTCCATCTTTTTTTTTTTTTTTTTTTTTTTTTTTTTTTTTTTTGAGGCGGAGTTTCGCTCTTGTTACCCAGGCTGGAGTGCAATGGCGCGATCTCGGCTCACCGCAACCTCCGCCTCCCGGGTTCAGGTAATTCTCCTGCCTCAGCCTCCTGAGTAGCTGGGATTACAGGCACGTGCCACCGTGCCCAGCTAATTTTTTTATTTTTAATAGAGACGGGGTTTCACCATGTTGACCAGGATGGTCTCGATCTCTAGACCTCGTGATCCACCCGCCTCGGCCTCCCAAAGTGCTGGGATTACAGGCTTGAGCCACCGCGCTCAGCAGGGAGACTCCATCTTAAAAAAAAAAAAAAAAAAGGGGGGGGGGCAGGCGCGGTGGCTCACGCCTGTAATCCCAGCACTTTGGGAGGCCGAGGCGGGTGGATCACGAGGTCGAGATCGGAGACCATCCTGGTCAACATGGTGAAACCCCGTCTCTACTAAAAATACAGAAAATTAGCTGGGCACTGGTGGTGCGTGCCTGTAATCCCAGCTACTCAGGAGGCTGAGACAGGAGAATTGCCTGAACCGGGAGGCGGAGGTTGCGGTGAGCCGAGATCGCGCCATTGCACTCCAGTCTGGGTAACAAGAGCAAAAAACTCCGTCTCAAAAAAAAAAAAAAAAAAAAAAAAACAGACTTTCCGAAGTCTGTTTTCATGAAACAATTATCTCTTTTCTGACTGTCAATTCGCATAACATTTATTTAAGTGATATCATTGCAATACCTAGTACAACTGCACAGAAAGTTCTGGATGAAGGGCAACCAGCTTCGCAGGCGAGAAACTCAGCAGATGGGACAGGAGTGGTCAGGAGCCTGTCAGTGTTTTCCTTGGGGAATGCCAAATGCTGGTGGTTATGGAGGAAGGTTAGGATGGGTTGAGCTCCTATGCCAGGCGCTGTGCTGGGTTCTTAGTGAGCGTCATCCTCCTCAGTCTTCCAGACAGCCCTGAGCCACAGTACCCGTTGGTGGGAGATGAGACCGGAAACAACATCAATGTATACCGAGGGAGGCTGGCAGGTGACATTTGATCCACCAAGCCCTTTCTGGAGTAGTGTATAGGGAGAATTCAGAGACCGCATGGAAGCTTAGTGGGAAGAAGTACCTGGTTAGTTAGGAAAATACGCCGTGGGCACTGGGGTGGGAAATGGTAGCTTCCATGGAGATCCAGAAGCTACTGGAAAGCCTTCGTGCCTTCAGCCTATGTCACATTTCAAATAAGGGAGTCAAGAGTCTTGGAACCAAGCAAGCAGAGGCTAGAGCTGCTGCCAGGTGGACCCGGAGACTCTCAATCCTGTGCACCCCCAGAGGCTGGAGCTGGTGCCATATGCAGACCCAGAGACTCTCAACCCTGTGAACCCCTAGAAGCTGGAACTGGTGCCAGGCGGACTCGGAGACTCTCAACCCTGTGCACTCCCAGAGGCTGGAGCTGGTGCCAGGTGGACCCAGAGACTCTCAACCCTGTGCACCCCCAGAGGCTGAAGCTGGTGCCAGGCAGACTTGGAGACTCTCAACCCTGTGCACTCCCAGGGGCTGGAGCTGGTGCCAGGTGGACCCGGAGACTCTCAACCCTGCGCACTCCCAGAGGCTGGAGCTGGTGCCAGGCGGACTTGGAGACTCTCAACCCTGTACACCCCAGCAGAGCAGCCAGTACACAGCAGGTGCTTCATGAAGCTCAGGGACGTGTGGTCTTGCCTCTTTTCTCCTCACGTCCTGCCAGTTTCACAGAAATGGCTCTTGAATCGACCGCTTCCTCACCGTCACTGTCTTGTTTAACTAGAGCTGTTGGCTCCTCCCGCCTGGACTCCTGTGACGATGCCCCACCTGGGCCCCACCTGCAGGCGCCCCACGGTGTGTTCTCTGCATAGCCAGCGGACGCTCCAGCAAGAGCACAGGTCCCGGCTTCACCCTCCTTAAAGGCTCCCCACGCTCCCAGGGCCTCACTGGACTCCCGACCTTTGTCTACTTTTCCAGCTGCATCCCACTACACCCGCTGTCTCCCCCCAGCCTCCAGCCTCCTGGGGCTTGTGGGTCCTGCTGCCACCTCTGGCTGGGACTGGCTTGCCGTCTGCCTAGAATGCCCTGACCACCCGTCTTCTCTTGGCTCAGTTGGAAAACTACCTCCTCCAGGAAGCCCTGTGCCTCGGCTGGCTGGATGCCCTATGCTCTCTGCTATAGCTGCACCAACTGTTTTCTGCCCTGTTTGCTTCCCCTCCCGGAGCAGGTCGAGAGGTTCCTTGAGGGCAGGGACCACATCGCACAGGCAAACGAGGCTGGTATGTCTCTCCTCTCTGTGGGCCTGACCTCCGCCCTGGGGCAGGAGTGATGAGCATGGGATGGGGCCTGGCCTTTCCTTCTTCCACCTGCTCAAACGCTCTGCCTTTTTCTGCCCTGCTCTCCAGGAAGAGTTCTGCTTTGGCTCCTCGGACTTCTGTGACACAGCATCAAGAGGAGAGGGGATGGAGCGTGGCTGTAGTCCACATGCCCCTTCCTAGTATGTGAGAAATGCAAGCAAAACCTGCCTCATTTTGCAGCTGCTTTTCAGGTCCTGGACCGAACTGCTTTGATCATGAATCTACCAAGACTGGACCTCATGGGCATCCGTTTCATAAGCATTTATGTAGTTTTGACTCACTGATTAGATGCCAACCTCATGGGTCCCATGAAAAAGGGCTAGGAGTAGGTGGCAAAAGGCAGGGATTCCTGCTGGGCTCCTGGAGCAGGCCATTCCTCTTGTCACCCCTGAGGCAGCCACAGCGGAGGGCTGTGGCTTATCCTCCCCGGAGGCCAGGCCACTTCAGTGCACAGCAGGAGAGTCCCTGCAGGGGGGCAGCTCACCTCCACGTCGGTCTCCGCCTCTCTCTGGCATAGACGCTTATGGGAGATCCAGTCATGCTTCCTGACTTGAACTGGCCCAGCTCGCCCATGGCTAATATGCAAAATCTACACAGTCCGGGGCTGGAGTGGGCGTGGGGCTCCGTGCTGCTCTACCTGGCTCCTTTGGTGCAAAGGGGCAGATGCCAAAGGACTCAGAAGGAGGCAACGCGATGGGATGTCCCAGGACTGGGTGAGGGAGGCCAGCTCACCGTCTCCATCATCCCCGCCCTGTTCTGTCATCTATCACACATGGTCACAGAGTCAGGCTGGGAGCCAGCGAAAACCGCAGACAACCATGAACTGCGCCGCGCCGCATCATGAGCCGTGCATTTTAACCAAAACGGCAACCCTGGAGGTGGGGTTAAGGTCAGGGTGCCTCATGGCCTAGTCCCCATGTGTGCCTGTGTGCACAAGGATTAACAACAAAAAGAAATGTAGAAACCCTCCTCAAGTTACGTCAGCCGGCTTGTTTGTCATCTCCTTTTATACAGACCCCAAAGGGCCACAGCCATTGAAAAGGGCAGAAGAGCCTTCAATGCCAACTGAGCTCGCAAAGGTGACACAGAGCAGGCGCCAGGCAGCCAGTGAGACAGGCTCGTGGCTTTCAGATGCTTCTCCCGGCTGGAGCCTCTCTGCTCATTGTGTCTGAGATT